GGATTAGGTTTTCTGGTCTCGATTTATCTACTATTAACTTTCTATAAGTGATTTAATTTTATATTTTGTATATTTATATCTTAACCCAGATAAGCTAATATATTAAGAATTTAAACAATTTTCACTGAAAATTTTAAATTAAAATATTTATATAGTTTATAATTTTATTTAAGTGATATTAATATATATATATATATATAATATGAATATCTACTAATAGGACGTCATATTTGTACGATTTATGATAACTGTATCTTTCTTGGAAAAATAAAGTTAAATCATTGATCATAAAATTTTAATGAGACTTTTACTATTTTTAGTAATTTATGGCCGATTTAAAAAAATTCGAAATATAAGATATAAGAAAAAAATATAATTTTTTATAATAGATTTAATATTATTGTTTAATTAATTTTAATAATTTAAAATTAAACAAAAGAGAGAGAGGACACAAAAATATGTATTATTCATAGTCATTAATTGCATATATATATGGTAATCATATTAGTTATCCCGTAGCTTTTATTTAAGGAAAGAAAATATATGTTTTATACACTATTAATTATTTTAATAGTTAGTTTAATAAAAAGTATAGTATATATTTATATGGACCAACTAATTTTTCTAAGGATTCTAAGAATGATTCTGGTGATGACACGTGGCTACAAAAATATGTTGTAATGTTCCAGGATTAATATATAGGGAATAATAGACGTTTGCTCAAAAAAGAAGAAGAATAATAGACGGCGACACTCACTCTCTGACTCTAGTCTTTATACAACAACCCAATATAAACCTTATTGTATCGTCGACTATATAGTTAACTAAACCTATTAAAATCTAAACACGATGCGCATCCCATAAGAGCTCCACAAGCTGCATAACCCAAAATCTTAACAGCAAATTTAATTAAGATGATGACACAATAAAACCATTAGTACACATCACTAGACTATAAGTCTATAAGATATGATCAATAAAGATTACTTAAGTTATAATTTCATATGATTTATTTGGTGATGCTTGACTAAAAGTTTTAAATAAGCATAACATATTTAATTCAATACAAACAGTAGATTTCAATACTACAGGATAACTAAACTTAATCCTACTTGGGTTACAATAGTTTTATTTTTACAGAAAAACTGGTTTCAAAACCGAACAAACAAATAACAAATACTTTGTGATTACAAAAGTTTAACTTACATATTTTGACCATATATATAAAAAAATAAAATAGAAAAATAAAATATACTTATTCCTATAACTAAAAGTTATAAAATACCTATGATCTAACTAATAACCATTACAAGAAAACTAAAAACGAGTACGAAAAAATAGATAGAAAATAATTATAAGATTGATGAGGAATGATTTCTATATCATTCTACAATAAAAGGAATGAACGAAAAAATTATTCTTATACGGTAAAACCTCTATATATTAATAATGTTGGTACTTTGAAATTTTACTAATTTATAAAGATATTAATTTACAAACAAAATCTGATTTAAATTTTTTATTTTAAGATATATTTATTCTTTTTGGACAATAAAATATATTTATTCTAAGATAAGAAAAATATTTTATTTTAATGTATATATAATAATTATTATTTTTTGAAATTTGGCATTTATATAAACTATATTGTATTATTTGGTGTACATAATATATATTACATAGAATTTAATGTGAATTTAGATATATATTACTATATCTGTTCAAAAATATATTAAATGTTAAGAAAATATAAATATATAATTCCATTGGGAATATAAAAAATAGTATAAGGATAGGTTCTTACTTATATAAAATATCTATACATAGCAATTATTAATTTATAATTTCAATGGGACCATATACTTAAATAGAATTTTCTAAAAAAATATTATTTTATTATTTTATTGATTTTTGTCAAATTTTGAACCGCCTAAAGTTGGGACCAACGAAATTTATTAATTTATAGAAATTATTAGTTTATCGAATATTAATTTATAAATGTTCTATTGTAAATGGCAAAAAAAATTTAGAATATTACAGAATACATAATTAATTCCTCTATATTCCTTAGTCACCATTTGTAGTTTTAGGATATAAATATATTTTTGGTTAATAAATATCCTTAGAATATTACGGAAACAGAAGAAAAAAGAAACAATATTGTCATTATGTTTAACATTTCCTTAACTAGAGGGTTACGATTTAGCATCACGTCATTATATGGTTTGGATTTTCCATAGACAAACATGAGACACAAAGACCATAATCTAAAATTAGAGAGACATGACATTGTAAGTCCCATGTCCGACTCTATTGGATCTTTGATTCAGTCTTCTCTCTTTTACAACCTCTCTTTTCTTTTCTCTTCTATTTTTACTTCTTTCAACTCCCATTTTACTCCTTCATTTGTTTCTTCTCTTGTCCATCTTTTCTTTCTTTCTCTCCACAGAACATTACAATAATAAAAACAGTAAAAAAAAAATGGCATTCGGAAAAGCACGTGGAAACAAACGCTCTACGTCGTCTTATGCGTCGACCATCACAATGGTCGTATTTGTAGCTTTGTGTGTCATTGGTGTATGGATGCTTTCTACCAACTCCTTTATTCCATCACAGATCACACAAGCTACAACTCGAACGGTCATTGCAGAGACTGAGAGGAGTGATGTCTCTGCCTCTTCAAACGGTAATGAAGAACCCGAACCAACAAAACCGGATCCAACGTTTCAGGACAATCCAGGGAAGCTTCCAGATGATGCTGTAAAGTCTGAAGACGAACAAAAAATGTCAGCAAAAGAGAAGACAAGTTCAAAGGCAGGAGATGAGGGAGAGAGGCAGAATCAAAAACAAGAGGCCGAGACACAACAGAACAATGAGAAAGAGAATAAGAAGAACGATGAGGGACAAGCGAAAGAAGTTGTTAAAGAGTTTGAGAAAGAACAAAAGGAACAACGAGAAGAGGATGCTGGAAGTCAACCAGGTAACAACAAAGGAACACAAGAGCAAGAGAGTGTAGTACAAGGGAAAGACATGCAAGATGTGGAACAAGGAAAGAAGCAAGGGCAAGATCAGGCTTCTAATGCGGACGTGACATTTACAGATGCGACCAAAGAAGAACTACCTTTGGAGGTGGGGAAGAGATATGCATCACAGAAGTCAAAGAATCAAGACAACGGACAACAACAACAACAAGATGATCAAAGCTCAAAGAGTGAAGAAAACGGACAGCAACAACAAGAAGATCAAAACTCAAAGAATCAAGAAAATGGACAGCAACAACAACAAGAAGATCAAAGCTCAAAGAATCAAGAAAATGGACAGCAACAACAACAAGAGGATCAAAACACAGGTAAGGAGGATAATGGGCAGCAACAGCAAGAGGATCAGAACTCAAGTAAGGAAGACAACGGACAGCAAAACATGGAGAACAACAGCATGGTCAGTGATGAAAACGTGAAGGAGCAGAAGAGCATGAAGGATGAAACTAACACTCCAGAGGAACAAAGCACAACAAAGGAAGAAAATGTGGAGCCACAACAAGAAGAGAAAAAACAAGAGGGCGCTGGAGCGAGCGGGTTTGGTTCAGGAATACCAAAAGAATCAGCAGAATCACAGAAGTCATGGAAGAGTCAAGCAACAGAGTCTAAAGACGAGAAACAAAGACAGACATCTGAATCAAACAATGCAGATAGTATTTTGACTGGGAAGGCATGGGAGTTGTGCAATGCAACTGCAGCTTATGATTATATACCATGCTTAGACAACGAAGAAGCTATAAAGAAACTGACTAGTAGAGGACATTTTGAGCATAGAGAGAGGCATTGTCCAGAAGACCCACCAACATGTCTTGTCTCCCTCCCAGAAGGGTATAAGGAGTCCATCAAGTGGCCAGAAAGCAGGGACAAGGTAAATGATTCGAATCCAAATAAGTTTTTTTTTTTCCATGTGAAATGGATAAAGGTTGATTTACTTGTGATCTAGTAGATATGGTACCACAATGTCCCACACACAAAGCTAGCAGAAGTGAAAGGACATCAGAACTGGGTGAAGGTTACTGGCGAGTTCTTGACATTTCCTGGTGGTGGAACACAGTTTATCCATGGAGCTCTTCATTATATAGATTTTCTTCAGCAGGTGAACTCATTTCTTGATTTCAGGATGACATTTAAAACTGCACTAAAAACAAGATATAAAGTTTATGTAAACTAAGAGAAATACCCCTAAAAGCACTAAATAATAAAAAAAAAACTAAATCAAGTTTTTGTTCAAATTAGCACACATGTAGAAAAATCTTCAAAATAACATTCACTGATCTAGTGTTTAGTATTTAGTGGGTGGATATAGCTAGGATTAAGATTTAGGATATGTAGGGTAAATTAATGTTTTTATTGATTAACAAAATGCTAGTTTAGAGATTTTTTTCTTTAAATGTTATTTTAACGACAAAAAATTAAAAAGCTATATATGAGATTTACCCCAAATCTAATGCCTCTTTTCTTTTTCTCTATGGTAGTCTTTAAAAAACATTGCTTGGGGTAAAAATACTAGAGTTGTATTGGATGTTGGATGTGGAGTGGCGAGCTTTGGAGGTTTCCTCTTTGAAAGAGATGTTATAGCCATGTCTCTTGCACCAAAAGATGAACATGAAGCTCAGGTTCAGTTTGCTCTAGAAAGGAAAATTCCAGCCATCTCTGCGGTGATGGGGACTAAGAGATTACCGTTCCCGAGCAGGGTGTTTGACCTTATCCACTGCGCACGTTGTAGAGTCCCTTGGCACAATGATGGTGGTATGCTTCTTTTGGAACTTAACCGGATGCTTAGGCCAGGAGGTTATTTTGTGTGGTCAGCAACACCAGTCTACCAGAAGCTTGAAGAAGATGTTCAAATTTGGAAAGGTATAAGGTTTGAATTATATAAGTGTTCTCCCTTTTTTGTTTGTAACACTGACATTGTTTTGAGGTATGTAGAGATGTCTGCATTGACAAAATCCATGTGTTGGGAGCTTGTGACAATCAACAAGGATAAACTCAATGGTATTGGTGCTGCCATCTACCAGAAGCCTGCCAACAATGAGTGCTATGAGAAAAGAAAGCACAAGAAGCCTCCTATGTGCAAGAACAACGATGATTCCAATGCAGCCTGGTACGTACCGCTACAAGCATGCATGCATAAAGTGCCGACCAATGCGGTTGAGAGAGGGAGCAAGTGGCCAGTTACCTGGCCTCTTCGGCTTCAGACACCTCCTTATTGGCTAAACAGCTCTCAAATGGGGATCTATGGGAAACCAGCTCCACTAGACTTCACTACAGATTATGAACACTGGAAGCACGTTGTTAGCAAAGTGTACATGAACGAAATGGGAATCAGCTGGTCTAATGTGAGGAATGTCATGGATATGCGAGCTGTATATGGAGGATTTGCAGCAGCTCTGAAAGACATGCAAGTGTGGGTCATGAATGTTGTAAACATAAACTCACCAGATACATTACTGATAATCTACGAGAGAGGCTTGTTTGGAATATATCATGACTGGTGTGAATCTTTTAGCACATATCCTAGAAGCTATGATCTATTGCATGCAGATCATCTCTTCTCCAAGTTGAAAGCAAGGTAAGATCTCAAGTATTTTCCAACTTTTTAGGTAAAATGTTCTTAAGAGGTTTCTTTTTATCCATTTGAAGGTGCAATCTTGTTCCAGTAATGGCAGAAGTGGATAGAATAGTAAGACCAGGAGGGAAACTTATTGTACGTGACGAGTCCAATGTGATAAGAGAAGTTGAGAACATGTTGAAATCACTGCACTGGGATGTTCATCTAACCTTCTCGAAACACCAAGAAGGAATATTAAGTGCACAAAAAGGATTTTGGAGACCAGATACATCTCAAACTTCTGCCTAAACTAAGATAGCCTTTTTGGAATCAGCGATTGAAATAGCAGAAGCAACAATATATATAATACATTTATCAACCATATTTATAAGTCCGAAATTCTTGCTTGTTGCTAGAATTGGATAAAGATTGTCAAGAATAAGCAATAGTGTTAGTCTTGTTAAACTGTAGACTAATTAGACCATGTTTTCTTCACCCATGTCATATAGAAAAGGAAGGCACAACCAATAAATGAAATTTGTTTTGTATAAAAAATTCTATACCAAAATATATTAAAACAACGGAAATGTAAAGATAAAACTTAATTTTTTTTTCAATTTAGTGATAATTTTTTATTATGCAACATTTGACTTAAAAACTAAATAAATAATATTTGACTCAACAAGAATTATATATGTAACATTTTTTTTCAAAATGCTATGACCAACAAAATATGTGCTTTTCTACAAGTTAATCTTCATTCTAAGACTTCTATAGGACCATAGATAATGCAAACCTAGCAAACTTTACCTTGCATCATAAAGGAAGACCAAAGATTACATCATTACTATTTATGAATATCTATACATGGTATATTTTATTTTCACTACATTAAGTGTTTAAATTTTTTGAATTTTCTCCTAAAAGCCTAATTTTTATCAAAATTCAATGCTTTCATCTGTAATAGCTAATGATATATGCATGTATAACTTAATTTGCTATATCAAAGAAGACAAACATTACACATTAACAAAATCTTATATGGTTGATTATTATATTTATCTTTTGATACTTTTGAAGATGAAGTTACACATTACAAAAAAAAAACTAAGAAAACTCTTGTCTTGAAATAAAAAATAATAGTTTGCTAATCTTAATGTTTCTTATTCATTTGATATGATTTGTTGGATAACAATAATATTTATGATTCATTTCATTGGAGATTTATATAATCATATAAAGATTGAACTCAAGAATAAAAACGTTTGAAGAATTACAGGGGAACAAAATCAAAATCATCATAGTATGAGTAAGTCACATTTGGAATATCAAAAGTTATGCTATGATTATGAGGTATATCAAACTCAAGGCCAACAAAAAATGTGATAACTACACTAACTATAATAGAAATCTGATAAAAATATCAATGCGTAATTAAAGATCAGAGATCGAAATGACCAAAATGTGTACAATCCAATTCACTTTCACCGTACTTACTTGGCTAGGGGGAATAGTTGGTTTCATGATCTGCTGAAGACTTTCAAATGAATATATTTTGATAGTTCACTTTAATTTAATGAGATTAATCATAGATTGTTGGTTTGGTATGTTTTGGTTAACTTGATTTACTTGGTTCGGCAATATCATACATGTGCCAGTTTTAGAAATATCATTTTGGTTTATATTTTATTTGATATTAAATATCTAGATTTTTGTATATGATAGTCATGCTTCCAACGATATTGCAAAATCAAGTTTAGTTGTTGATGTTTGGTTGATACACTTTGATATACTTTAATGTTACAGTGGATCTGAAAAAAACGATCAACCTTATCATCAAATGAATGTTATTGACAAAGATAAAATATTATTGTTATTCATGCATCATCGTCAAATGAATTAAACAGACAAAGATAAAATATTATTGTTATTCATGCATTATCATCAAATGAATGTTATTGACAAACATTTGGTGGATCAAAAGGATATGTTAGAGAGTCATTTTGAAAAGTCTTCCACTCATGCTATAATTAATAATGAATCATTCCAAATGAAAGATACATAACAAAAAACATAATATAGAAATAAGTAAAAAAAAAACATAATACATAAATCATGAATTGAAAAAAATAAACATCTACATGAAAAACATCATTATAATTATCAAAACAAATTTTCTGACAATAACCAAACATGTTTTCTGCTACCAAAAAATCATTTTCTCTGAGATCACAATAAATATGCTATGCAAAGAGTCATGTTTTCAAAAAGAGTTTCACTGTCATTTCTAAGTCTAACCAAATGAACTCGTGAATGTACAAATTGTACTCAACATTAATTAATTATAATATAAACAATTATAGAAACTTATGTAATTTTTAACTGTAGAAGAGGTTGAACAAATAAATCGTAGAAGAGAAGAATAGAAATAGTTGCGCTACAATAGAAACATGGGTCCCTCAGCATGTTGATTATCTCTCAATCCAGTGGCGGATCTAAGATTTTCTTAAACCGGTGTCAATGACTCAATGCATATAGTTAAAAATATTTGCACAAAAAAAACTTTATAAGTGAGACGATCCGACTTCTTTTTAAGACTATTTAGGCTTACGTTTAATGTAGTTATTTAGTTAAGCCTGTTTTCTGTTTTTAGTTATTTGGAAAAGAAATATTGCTTATTTATGCTGAACAATCTAATGGACTTTTAATATTATCATCACAAATGGTTGGACATTCGTTAATGGGGTGTCAAAAGTCAAAATTAAGGGGGTTCAATTTTATAAAACCACTAATCATACACTAAAATTTTAAATTAATGGTGTGTCAAGTGACACCCCATTGATCCATGTACATCTGCCTCTGTGTTTAGCTATTAATGCAAAATTTGATTTCTGGAAAAGTTTAGTTGCAAACTCTTTGAAGGATAAGATACCAACAACAATATGATAATTAGACTAAATATAGATGGAAATCTGTCAATGAGAATTTACATTATATGGTTAATATCCGTCTAAAATCCTCTAATCATTATTTGAGAAGTGATTTGTCATATGTCATCACTACATTGATTTTGAAAAAAAAAATGATGACATGACATACGGAAAATGATTGACAAGATATGAATTTAATTATGACATAAATATTTGTATTTAGTGTCCATTTATATTTTTGGTAAATACTTTAGAATATAGTAAAAATTCATATATCATCATTATATACCAAAAATAATACTCCCTCCGTTTTGAATTAGAAGTCATTCTAGAGGAAAAAATTCGTTTCAAAATAAGTGTCGTTTTAGAGTTTCGAGACATAATTTATTAGGTTTATATGATATTCTATTTTTCTATTGGTTAAAAAGTGGTTAGGTGTATTGGTAATTGTGTTTTTATACTGAAAATGTGTAAAATTAAAAGTTTCCTTAATATGTGTGTAAAAACCTAGAATGACAAATAAATTGAAACTGATGGAGTATACTAATAGAAATAGAAACATAATAAACAATATTTTACCATTTTCGAAATATTATTTATTTATTTTATTATAATTTTTCTTACTAAAAAAATTCTTCAAAATGCTATCCAGATTTTTTGTAAAAAAATTATAATTTTCTAATTTCAACACTGTTTGTTTTTTAATGACTACAAATTTTAGAAATATAATTTAGTTTACGTTTGATAATTATATATCTAACAGAAATTTATCTTAGTTTTATTGCATTTGATTTAATATATTTTAACTAAAATATAGATAAATATTTTTCCAAGATTCTAATTTAAAATATATACATATATATTACTGAATATATTTTTTTAAAAAAAATATTTATTTGAATTTTAAATTAAAATTATAAACAAGTAATAAAATCTAAAAGTTAAAATAAATATTTTTAAATAAAATTTAAATTTTAAAACACTTATTTCTAGGGAGAATTCAATTATACCACTTTGGTGGTACCACTTTTCATGTTTACCATAACAAAGGAACATTTTCAAAAATACACATTTTATTAAAGGATAAAAGACTCTTATATACTTGTTCTTTATATATATACATAAAATAAATATTAAATAAAATATTAACCCTAAACCCTAAAACATCAACTCTAAACTCTAGACCCTAAAAAGTAAACCCTAAACCCTAAAAATCAACCCTAAACCCTAAAATATCAATTCTAAACCTTAAACCCTAAACTCTAAACCCTAAAAAGTAAACCCTAAACCCTAAAAAATCAATACTAAACCCTAAACTATCAATCCTAAACCCAAAACTCTAAATTCTAATAGTATTTTGACTATTAAAATTTTAATGGTAAAATTGGTTAGTGTAAAGTTGAAAAGTGGTATCTTGAAAGTGTTATTTCTGGCAATTTCCCTTATTTTTTCTACTCATAATGCAAAAAAGACACCTAGTTCACATTAGAAGCTTAAATACTTTAATGGAAGAAGCGAGCAAGACTTGATTGTTGGTGTGCACAAGGTTAGGTAAAAGTCATCACATATAAATTGCAACTTGAAAAAACTTTAGTTTTACAAGAAGCTTTGTTAATTACTTAAAACATGCGGCTGATGGCAGACAGAAACTCAGGTGCTACAAAAAAGGATGTTCATGATGTTGTAAATAAACAAATGGATACAGAATACAAGAAATGAGAATCAAGGGTGCCAAAAACTACACGCAGCACCCTTTTTGCAGTATCCACTCTCATAGAATTTACATATTTTTAACCCTTTGGGCGGATGAGCTGTGTAAGAACCTGATCCATGATCATAACCATGGTTACTGCTGTATGGCCATTGCCGATTATTATTATGACTGTTGTTGAGGCTACTGTTGTGACCATTGTTCCACCATTGCCGGTCTCTGCTGTGCCCACCGGATCTCCTTTGCTGACTTCCATTACCACGTGGACTGCGTTCGGTGTTTCCACGTGCTGGGTCGTGTGATGATGGTGACCTAAGGCTCGGTTCCAATCCAACTCCCGAAACATACTTGGGAAGCCTCTCGACCAATCCAGCTTCAACTGTGGTTTCTGATCCCAGTCTGAGAGCTGTTGTCGTCAGATTCAGGTCCTGACTTATTGAAGCTGGCGGTGGTGGTGCAAAGAGCAGGAGCTCCGGACCAGCGGAGCCACAGTGGCTGAAGAGAGTGTTGTCTTTTGCTTCTGTGACCGTTGAGCTTCTCCCGGCGGAGACGTTGTCAAGAATACTCGGCTGAGAGAGATCCATTCTGCATGTTTCATGTGTGAGGGACATACGTAGCAGAGGGTTAAAGAAATCTTTCTCTGGCCCTTTTGTCAAATCATCGTCGTC